ACTTGTGTATGAGGTTAATGTAAGATAGTAAGCAGTGTTCTTGTTTTACAGAAGCCTTTTGTTCACGGAAAACAACCTATTTCAGAAATAAGTTGCTATTTCTACGAGGAGCAGGAGGGGATGGTTGGGTGTTCGACCCATGCGCCAATAAGAAACATAGCCTCTTCTCAACCTATTTCTTGTGAATTTATAAGACTGATTTTGCTAACTTGTGGCTTAGTAGGGTCGTTTTCATGGACATCACATTTTCCTGGACCAACTCGGCCAGTCACCTCGCCACCCGCTTTACAACTCTAATTTTATTTATAAGCCTTGTATTAATACTGAAAACACCAATACAACCAAGAAATTTTAACAAATGAATATATCCCTGTTTCACTTAAATCAATGTCACCATAATTCATTATGCTGTACAGTATTAATTTAAGATAATCAAACAGGAAAAAGTACTTGCTAATCAACTAGAGATGGAAAAGGAGTCAACTAGGAAAAGTTGAACCTATTTCCTTCCAACTGTCTATCAGTTGCATTCTAAAAACTGCCTTGTAAATCTCTGAAGCGCTCGTGGAGAATAATAACAAAACTGAAAATAATATGATCCACTTCGTTTACTTCAACTTCGAAAAAGACCTGTTTACGAGGGAATTCATGTCAGCTTCCAGCAGGTATCAAACAAGCGTTTTTATTCTGATAATCAAAATATAACAAAAAACAGAACAGGGATTACAACAATAATTTAAAGCATATAAAAACAAAAAAATTCTTAGACACAAGACGCAGTTGTCATAGGCAATTCAAAAAAACTTGCCTTCCCAAAACTTAACATCAATCCAGGGCTCATGTGGTAATCAGAAACGATAGATACACAAACGAATTCGAGGATAAAATTTAACAATATTTCAATTCTCATACCGATTCGAGTAAAACATCGACAAATCCTTTGTTCAAAATAAATATATGATACCAACATTTTCCAGTACAATCATAAGTAGATAATTCTTATACTTCATGAACCAATCCGAAATTTAAGTTAAGTAAACAAAACGTAAAAAATCTTAAAACCAGTGTAATGGAGTATTGTAAGGGATTTTATTTATTTAGTTACCAGTTTTAAATCTTATTATAGGAAACATTATTATGATTAGATTTATTAGCTTTTATAATATTTTCTTACCTAGACTAAGGTCCTTTGAAACCCTATATAAAGGGGGCTATGAGATGTAATCATGGAAATTTTGAATGAATGAATAATTGATATTTTCTTCCCCTATTTCTCTCTTCCTCTTCCTCTCCCCCTTCCTCTCCCCCTCTTCTTCTATTTCTCCCTCATTCTCTTCACCCTCCTTCCCATTCTCCTATAATTCTACCTATACATCCGGCATCACAGTGTCTTTGTGCAATACTTTAAACTTCAAATGTTGCATATTCAATTGCTGAAACCCCATATTCATGAAGTAGTCAGTAGCCTGACACAAAATGCAGCTGCTATGTTAAAAGTTCAAATAAAAACTTTATGTTTGTTTCCACCTTTTTGAGCAAACGTTAGTTTATTATGGCCAAACAAACATTAGTTTATTATGGCCCGTTTGGCAGGACTTCTGATAAGTCAAAAGCTGCTTTTGAAACTATGTAGCTTCTTTTAGGCTTTTTATAAATATTTTTCTAAAAGTGGTTTGTCTAATTATAAGAGCTCTTAGAAGGAATTGGTACGAAAGTGGTTTCCTCATAACGTTCTTCTACAAAAAACAGAAGTAGAAGCTATCCATAAAATGCCCTTTGTTTTCCTCTACTAGAGTGTTGGCAACTAGACATTATCTCGGGATGTAATATATCTAACACAAGCGAATGATCAATAAGAAGACAAAAATAACATATTAAAAGAAAATAGTACCTGAAACATTTGACTGCTACCAGAAATTCCTATTTAAGAGGCTTCATACCCTGCAGAATTCCATCAGAAAGTTGCAATTTCCATTAGTCTAGTTATTTGCTATTTTTAGTTACCCTAAGCTAAGTTACAATTCAATACCTCTTTTTATCCAAATAAAAATATGAATATTGAACATACAAAGCTGGTGCACCATTACAACCTCATTTAGTTGAAGTTTTGGATCCAACTAGAAATGTTTGTACACGTTTGGTCTAGGGATATTTAATGAACAAGATATAATGTCATTTATTTAAAGAGCATTTTTTGGTCTTTGACAAAAGGTACATTTATTGGACATAGTCGAATGTGCTCAAAACTATCAAATCAATCCTCAAATATGTACCGCATCAATCTATGCTGGTGGTAAATGCGTAAATTTATTATTATGATGATTCTACCGTTCTTTTGGATTCACAAGAACTTCGTTTTAGAGAAATTCTTTTCTAAGCAGTTCCTTCTATGCTCATTTTTCTTCATTCGTTTTAATGGAATGAAACTTGTTATTTTATCATATTTGATGTTTTACTAAAGCTTGTTTGAATTTACACATACTCAAGGTAAAACCAATTTTTATCCACACATTCCATCAGCCACACAAGTAATACCCATTTATCGACCACTATTTATAGTCTAAATTGATTATGAACACTTCCCAAACATGCATCAATTATATTTTTCCACGCTGCATATGAATCCATACATCACATCATCAATCCATCTTTATGAATAATTGATCCCAGAAACTACAACTTTGTTTTGTTCATAGACGAAAAAGTTCTAGGGACAAGGAATCCTCAAGTATTAAAGAGAACACCAGAACAAGAAATTAAGATGAAAGAAATAATTAGATACAATCGATTATTTATCCCCCCCAACCCCAAAAAAATAAAAGATACAAGAGTCCCAGAACTGTTGCATATTAGTACCGCTTGGAGGGAGAGAGAGAGAGAAAGAGACTCAAACATGTGAATATAATTATTATTTGTCATCACAGCTCCTCAAGTTCATTTTCAATATTTTTAAAATGTAGAAAACCGGTACCACATTGCCGAGCCAATGAATCAACAAAATTAAATGAATAGATGTCGGATGCTCAATTTTACCTTACTAGCCCTTAATTCATTCACCGCCATTCGAAGAGAATCATCAGATAAAATCAACCGTGATAATGCCCCAGTGCTCAACCTGTAATTTGGTAGTCAAAAGAGAGTTGTGCAAGAAGAGCTTGGCTACCATTAGCAAATGAGCATAACAATTGATTAGGAATTCAGTTTAATGTACCCTAACTTCTTAGCAGCATCTGCCACAGACCCCTCGACTGCAAAAATTAGGTCAAGTAAAGCCTGCATTCCCTGCAGAACAAATGGGGTTTTGAGAAATAAATAGAACACTATAAAAATAGTATATTGTCTCAAAAGAAGTGCTAGAAAGGATAAGAAGGCATACCATAACAAATTTCGGGTTATTTGGTCCAATTTGATGACCCTGGTACAATCCCCTTACAGTTGATTTTGCAGGAAGAATTTGCACAAGTTCCGGAGGAGGCAAATATGCATCAAGATCCACGGTATTCCTCACTGGCTTAAAAGAAATATCCTGCTTTAGTCTTTAGCTTGAAGAAAAATTGAACTACTTTAAGCGAAAGTTGCATTAGTTCTCCTTACAAGTAAAATAAGGTTCACTGATAATTGACAGAAGTGGCAGATTAGAGCTGACAATGCACACCTTTAAGAGCTAAAAGCGTACGCAAGCGAGCAAGGGCTGAAGAACGATTTTTGTGTTGTGATCTATCCTCCACAGCCTGTCAGATTGTAATTTATTAACACATATACACCATAACAAAACACGGATTCGAGATTCTAGGATATGTGAATGAACCTGAGCAATAATACTGGTTGGAAGGTGCTTCAGACGCACTGCAGACTCACGCTTGTTACGGTGTTGTCCTCCTGGTCCTGATGACTTGAAAGTATTCATCTCGCACTGACTTATTAGCTGATCATCGGTCATCATCAGATACTCTCGACCACCATTAGTCTCACAAGTACTGGTATTACTACTTAAAGAACTGGAACCAGAATTAGTCGAGAACTTAAACTTAGCTTCATGCATACCAGTTCTCATGACCGACCACCCTCTTGGTTTTGAATTTCTTATGAAAAGGTAGACTGAATAGTTTCGATCAAACCTGTTGTAACAACCCCATGAGGTAGCAGCAGATTTTTTGAAACTGCAACTATTACCACTCGGGAATCTCAGGAACGATCTTAAAACAGAATGAGCCATCTGGCATGAGTGGAAGAGGCAGGAACAATCAATCTGCGAATGCAAAATTGATAAAGATTCATGGTTCACCACTTTGTTCATTTGAAGGTATGAATCAAATTAAAGTGGAAGCCTAGAATTTGAACTTTAATATAGTAGTAGTTGACATTTTAAAAGAAAAGAGAAATAAGCATCAAAGATTATGACTTAATCTAATTGAAAAAAAAAAAATTGTGCGCAATATACAACTAGTTTGAGAAACATATATTGATCTTTGATAAAAAACTTGGCATGATAATAAACATTTCCTTATTATTGCAACAAAAAACTGAAAATTTAGAAGACATAAATCTCGTAGAGTGCAATAAACAGTGTCATCAGTTTACCTAATAAAACAAATCATATGTTCAAATACCGCCTTATATTCTCTGCCTACCACACATTTCACTGAACAAGATCAAGTCGTCTTTTGACAATACAAATTTGTTTCATACATTCACCAATTATTGAGTATTAAATTCCATATTGAAAGGTCAATCTCGTTAAGAGAGTAGCCGAACCCTTAATGTTAGTTAATATTTTCACAGTGCGGATTTTAATTTTACCCTTTAACCAACAACATGAAATCCAACAGAATTCAATAAAAGGAGAGAAATATACAGAAAGCAACTGCTTAGCCAAAGGATAATCGGCAAAAACTTTTCAGGAACAATTGAAAGCTTAAAGCATACAGCCCAGAAACTGGATATGAAAAAGAAAAAAACTGGAAAAGAAAAAGAAAACCCGAAACCAAATCACCTAAAGTTGTCGATGGCAGATAATTTCTTGGGCTTCCTTGAAGCTTGAATCGAAAGAAAAACGAAATGACTAAAGAAAAAGGGTGCGGTTAAGAAGACATTTTACTACCCACCTTTTCCAAGAAAGTATTTTTCCGAATGAATAAATCTTTCGGATCATTTACAAATTTTTTTTACAAACTTCCTTATTTAATACTTACAACTAGAATCTGACATTTTTAAAATTCACATGGGATTCACAAATTTTATGAGAGTGAGTACAATATTTTATCAACAAAATTTTGTACAAATATTTTTATCCAATCTTTTATGTTCGCAATTCAACTTTTTTTTATCTCAAGTAAAAATGGCAAATTTCTTTCCTTATGTTTGATTTAGAAAAAAATCAGTAAATTTGGATAAAAACTGACAAAATATCTGAATGAATTTATGGATATTATGGATCAACAAAATTTATAATTAAAAATAAGTTTGAACAAAAATGAGTATTTAAAATGGGGATCATATATGAACGAAACCCCCCGTGGAAAAATTAATGGGTGGAATAGTATTTTTTTGAAAAATGAGTTGTTAAAAAAGAATGAAAATTTTTCGATTTATATATAATATTATTTTATAGAAAATTGTGTGGTTGAAAATAGGAGAGAGAAAAATGAAATGTAATAAAATTTAATATAACGGGGCTCAAATAGGGGCTAAAATGGATTCTTATCCATTTCACTTTTGTAATTTTACTTTAGAATATGTTCGGTAGAGATTTTTTAAAATTCATTTTAAATTATATATCCCACTTTTGTACATGAATTTATAAGTTTTCCTCACTTTTCAACTATACATTCTTCGATAAAATCATTTTTCACAAAATCAATTTCGAAAATCCGTTCCTGCAAAAATGTGTAATGCAATTGGTCAATAGTGTTGATGAATGGCACTATGTAACAATGAAATCACAGGCAACACATTATCAGATGAATAAAATTAGAGTTATTCTATTGGAGTGGCGCCGGGAGTCCATTTTGGAAATGGACACCATTATGTACATTATTATGTACCCATAGAATAATTCATAAAATTACATCCCAACTTCATTGCACAATTTAACAACCATCATTGGTCATTGCCATAGCTGATGAATAGCATTATTCATTAAAAAATAATTGCTCCCTACGAGATAAAATGCCATAATACTTCATCTCTGGCATGGCAAGATTATCCCATCGTTACTTTAGCAAAGGAATAAAAAACAACAACTGCATTTTGTTATCTTCAAAAGTTGTATAAATTTCTAGGTAGACATGTCATGTCCAATACATATTGTATCCATTTGATACATTAAAGATAAACAAGGGGCAGTGACATCAGATCTTAAGATGAATATGCAAACATTTTCCAAATTCACAAAAGTTTCACCTAAGCAGTGCACAGATTAATCTAGGATTCGGTTGTTTTCTGTTTGGCCTTCTCTATGAGAGGTCTCAACTGTTTCTTTTCAGCAAGGATCTTCAGAAAGTTGAACAAAAAGGGAATGTAATTGTGCTTCCGGCGAATATTTTCAGTTCTCCATTTCTTGAACTTTTCTTCCTCAATCAATATTTTCTCAGTAGCAGCCTCAATCCCAGCATTGATTTCTGAAAGTGTTTGGTTCAGCGATTCCACATTACTGCTATCAACCATCCTCTCTGACTGGAAGGCCGCCAGTTGTTGGAGGATTCTCTCTCTCTTCCTCTGGAGATCTTTGAGCTCGGCTGTATACATCTCTTTCCTGTTCTTTATAATTGCCATTAGGTTAAACCGTATTTCATTTTGGGAATACCTCTCTATGCGTTCTTGAATCACAGGCTGTACCATTTGTAACCAGCCAATATCATCTTGCCCACCCGGAGACTGCCCAAGGCTGATGGGTCCCTCCTTCAATCCGTCCAGCTCGTACAGCACACCATCAACAGGTATATAGCTTATAAAATGATAGACATCATCATCTTTTCCAGCAGATTTCTGCTCTTCAGGTACAAATGGCTCGGGTCTTGCAAAGCTATTATGTGCAGTGCGAATTGCTTCACTGTTATTGATAGCCAAACCTTTAAGCTCAGGTGGAAAATTTTTGGTGAATTCTTTCAGTGCCGACAGCTCCGGGCCAATGTCAACATCGGGACTGTTCATCAGAATTGACAGGATTGCTTGCGTTGCACATGCATTATTGATCACCTGTAATCATAATAAATCAGTAATATTACTGTGGTTCAGAATTTCATTTATTCATCCAGCAGATACAATTGTCAGGGAAACTGACCTGGCTGGCAAAAAACAAGTTTGGGTTTGGATCCTTAATCACAAGTCGATCGTCCTTTTCACCGGGACGCCATTTGAAAAGAAATATTAGGCCATATATAGGTCTGTAAATTGTGAAATAGAAAGAGAAAAATCCAAAGATGTGAGCAAGTGCAAAATAAATTAGACAACAGGAGGTGTATTAACGGATTTACCTTAGGTTGTTTAGAGAATCAAGATCCAGTGAATACAACTCCTCAACCTGCTTGCGCATCACATAATCGAGTGAGCAAACATGATCTTTTATTCAAAACAGTAGCAAAGGAAAACTACAGAAGAAAAAAGGCAGCAAATAAAAATAACCCAATCAACTACTGCGGAACCCGTGTGACCGTATGCACAACAGAACAACAAAAAGGGAAGAGAAAAAGGTAAAAAGCAGCAGAACAAAAGGGAGAAGATAATACTCATAATAGAGCTTTATATCTTCTTTAAATCATATTATTGACCCGAACTGAGGAATCTTCCATCTACATCTAGCTTCAGAATAGCTAAACTATCAACAAACCAAACATGCTCAGGCTGGTTCAGAGATATTTCCCTTGAGTTACACAAGGCACCAAAATCCGCATGCCATCTCCACGCATAATGTTTTCAACTTTTTTCTCTATGCTCGTCCAGTAATTGCCTAACCCTCTTCCCCTTGGTTGTAAAATTTTCAGAGAGAGAGAGAGAGTCCAACTTCTCTTTTGCATTTATAATACATAATATATATTTTTTATGGTATATTTGTATTTACATGTAAAAATGAAGAAATCATGTGAAATTATAGAAATTCAGAAAATTAATGAAAATTCAATGAACTTACAACAAATAATCTTGGTCATTAAAATAATATCTTAGATTAATGGTAATTATTCCTATGTTTCTTGGTTTATTCATTTAATTACCCTAAAATAGTACATTAGGTTATTAAATCTAAAGTTTCAAATAATTCGTATAAACTGGGTTCAAAGAGACTAGAATTACTTTATTATTGAAACCTTCATTTTTCGTTAGATGAGGTCATCGTTTTTCTTCCATTTCCATCCTGGGGAAGCAGCTTCCAGTCATCGGCAATGAGTTCTATGATTTAATGATTACTGGCACTTAATTTTTGAGTTGAATAGTTCAATCAACTATGGATTTGAAGGTGTTGGAGGCTTAGAAGGGAGCCGGAGACAGCAATAGTGAGATCATGACTGTTGACATTAACAATGTGTTGGCATGGAGGTGGTACCAGTACCAGGTACATAATTGTGTATGGGATCATGGGTGAAATTGATTTTTTCAATGGGTTGTGCAGATTCTTTACAAATGGTAGTTTGGGGGACATGTCAAACAAATTTTCTATTTAATGAAAAGGAAACAAACCAAAAGATGATATGAAAGCATTCTATTGGTGGATGGAGGGCTAAGATTGGTGAAGTATACTTCACTAGAGAACATGATTGATGATTTTTTATTTTTTTTTATTTTCTGTTTTATTTGGAAAAGAAACAGCAGACGTCACCCGAAGAAAATGTTCTTTCTGCTATTGTTCATTTCAGTGGTAAAATGAATATAAGAAGAATGTTATACCAGCCATAAATTGACACATTGACAAGCACATATCAAGCGTATGCTAAACATCATGAAGTCAGCACAGACTAACATCAAACTTTTTACATGCCACAACCTGAAAATAATCAACATAAATGGTAACATTATTATTAGCATGCAAGTTTCTATAATTTGAATTAACAACGTGGTTGATTTGACCTGGCAAACATTGTAGTAAGCTAGGACCACTCTTCTTAGATTACTTCATCGATAAATTTCACCATACTAAACTGATGCTACTGGAACTACGATACATTGAAGCATTTTTTTTAATTTAAACAGCTAAGAAAGAAAAGGGAGAGCAACAGTCTTACTGTCCCTGTTTGGTGATGATCAAAATCTAGATTTTAATATAAGTCAAATCAACAATTAATTCAACCACATATTTTATGGGCCCTACAACTTTTAGGTTACTCATTCCATCAACTTTTATCAAAATCTACTAAAAATCTAGTTCAATCCCCACCAAACAGGGGCTTGCTAATTTTTTTTTCAATATTCTGCTTCATGATGATCAAATGGGGGGGAAGGCATAGATAAGAATATTCCCAAATTGCTGGTTTAGCAAATTTTTGGAAAATCATACAATTACCACTTTGTCAGATACCAATTTTACTGCTAGCATACAATTTGAACAAGCTTCAACTGGTTATATTTCATATGATGTTATACATATGAGGTTGGGAAAACCAAAAGTCATAAACTTATTCCCCACAAGGGAAAAAGAAACCCAACTCGGAATCCTCACACACTAGGAATCTCAATAGTACCTGCACACCTTTAACTTGCATCTGCTGTATAAGTTCTGTGAAAACACCTGCAGCACAAGCCAAAAACTTAAGAATATGAATGTAAGGTTTTAGATCTCATCACAATGTAATCCAAACGCATATCTGGGCCTGATTACAAAGAAATGCAAGAATTTACTAAATGGAGAAACCAACTAGTAAAATCCTAAAAAAGAAGCTAAGGAGATGCGAAAGTGCAGATCAGATTAAAAATGGCAGCATCGTGATGACTAACAGCTTAAGGGCTTTGATCAGTCAACGGTCCAACACTAATAACTGTTAAAGATAGATCCAGCTTGAAAACAAACTGAAAGTTTGAGAACTCCATTACCGACAAGAAGAGGGACTACTAGGGACAACGAAGGGTAAAGAATATACTTTTCATGATTGATTTGAGAGTAGTAATATACGAATTTACTTTCCTGAGGTTTAAAAAACTTCTGAGGCTTACGCCTCAAGTTGCACCTTACTTGAGGTTTTCATTAAAAGCCTCGAAGTTTATACCTTGAATGCTACTTGTCGGTATATTAAGGCTTGAACTAGTCTACTCCTAGAGGCTACCTAAAAAAATTTCACAACCTATTTTCTTTTTTCAAGTTGGCTAAAGAAGAACAGCCAATTGTCAGTCATTAAGATAAAAGGTAATGTTAAAAATTGGTC